AAAACCTACAACACTGTAGTGATACTGATGTAGTAAAGTGTTAGTGTTAATACTAAAACCTACAACACTGTAGTGATAATGATGTAGTTGAGTGTTAGTGTTAATACTAAAACCTACAACACTGTAGTGATACTGATGTAGTTGAGTATTAGTGTTAATACTAAAACCTACAACACTGTAGTGATACTGATGTAGTTGAGTTTTCGTTTGAATACTAAAACCTACAACACTGTAGTGATACTGATGTAGTTGAGTGTTAGTGTTAATACTAAAACCTACAACACTGTAGTGATACTGATGTAGTTGAGTATTAGATTTAATACTAAAACCTACAACACTGTAGTGATACTGATGTAGTTGAGTTTTCGTTTGAATACTAAAACCTACAACACTGTAGTGATACTGATGTAGTTGAGTATTAGATTTAATACTAAAACCTACAACACTGTAGTGATACTGATGTAGTTGAGTTTTCGTTTGAATACTAAAACCTACAACACTGTAGTGATACTGATGTAGTTGAGTTTTCGTTTGAATACTAAAACCTACAACAGTGCAGTAATACTGATGTAGTTGATCTTTGATAGTGTTGATTGTTGAAATAATAATGGTCATACAGATTTAGCTGAATTGTGTTGTTTGTAGCTTGTTGTATTGATAACTATTAACACATACGAAAATACCTATGTAGTTGATCTGTGCTGTGGGTAGGTTGTTGTACAAATAATGAAGAACATAATAGTGAAATTGATTTAGTTATCTGTGCTGTGGGTAGGTTGTTGTACAAATAATGAAAAACATAATAGTGAAATTGATTTAGTTATCTGTGTTGTATGTTGGTTGTTGTACCACTAACGAACATGATAATGTTGATACTGATTTAGTTGTATGTTGGTTGTTGAACTGGTAGTAATCATGATGGTGATACTAACATAGTTGATCAATGTTGTGTGTAGGTTGTACAATTAACCAACTAAATAATTTTGATATAAATGATTAATAAGATGAAAGTAAACTTATTGTACATTAATCAATTGATGGCTCATCATCTTGTAGTGTTATTAATATCTATAACCACGTAATCCTTCCGTCAGAATACAACATTACAAAGAATTGTAAGGGATGTAATGGCAGGAAAACAATTTGGGATATTTTGTTTCTTATATTTTCTAAATGTGACTTCAATGATTCTATCAAGCAACTACCGGACAGTGTTTATATATGTTAATGACGTACTTTGATTGGCTTACATTAGCACTCGTGTGTGTTTGCAGGTTTTTCCAAACTGATAAATAGCCTATATCCAAATTTGATGAACTAGACTGGGCAACTAGGCCACTTCTTTGTGCATAAATTGACGTCATCAGATAAGGATAGAAAATTATAAAACGAGTTTGTAGTTCGCGAAATAACATTTTACTCGGAAACTTTTTCGCACAGTATTTATTGCGAAACGGAGACCCGCAAACTGTTTCGAAACACACGAATCGCCTAAAACCTACTATGATAAATGGAACAAGGCTAGTTTACTATTATTTCTTTCATCTGAGTCAAACCATTAAAGCATGAAACCGCTACCGTATATGCAGTAGTATAAATAAACCTTACTCAATGAGCGGAGTAAACTGAAGTATACGAGAGCAATCCTATACTATCAGGGGATTATCATGAACAATAATCTCGCCATTCCGAGCTATATTAAGGTATGTGTTTTTTTAAATTCTAAGCTACATGATTATCAACGCCTTTTAGCCGGAAAAACTTGTATCGTTGAATCAATCTGTTAACTTGTGACATGCATTAATCATGCATAAACTGATCATGATACTTTTTTATTACTATTGTCATGCTTGATGTTTTACTCATGAATAAACTTTAGAAAATAAAGGATAAAACAGGCAAGGTAATATACCACCACAAGGATGGATATAGGCCTACGCTGAAGTAAAAAAAAATGGAGAGTTAAGTAATGCTAATATTAGGCCGAGACTAATAAATCTAAAGGGCCATTTCTTTTTATCAATCATACTTTAGTCCAAGAAACGGGTAATTTTTAAACTAAGCAAATCAGTAATAGTGTTCACTGCTCACAGTCGAAACCGGGGCCTTCAAATCCAGGAGTGTCCACAATTATCCTCGATTGAAAGTTAAATCGACGAGTTAGCTTTTTATGAGACACTGCCCTATATAAGACTTCTATAGCAAAAGGAAAAGAAATTCCAAGTGTGAGATATTTTTGAAGGAATTATGCGATATTTGTACCTTTCTAGTACCTTTGAAGACTATTTACATATATTAAAGACTCATATCAACTCCACAATATGGCGCATCTGTAATGGAAAGTATTTGCCCGATTCCATTTAAATTTGTCATAAATCGTAAATGTTATATGATCTTTATTTTCCACTATTCAACAATTAATTATTAGGTGTGCAGTAGCATATATAATATGATATCATATTGTTTCCACTTAACAAAATGCACTTCGGCTGATTATATTGATTTTGTAGCCAACTTGTTATCTAAATGTCCGCTTTTCCCATGTGTTTTAAATAACACTATCACCTTTTCTAGTTCTAGATAAATAGCAGTTTATTACCAGCCTACGTCTATTAATTATGTAGTAGTGGTAAAAGCTTCACACCAATTGATAGACCAGTTAGCCTTTTACATTAATCAGATGAAATATTTATATTGCACCTATATTGTTTTCACCAATTATTCAATATTCTGATTAGATAATATTATTGCATAATCTATTTATCCCATTATAAAAAAAAAATACTGTAAAAAAAAATCTGAAAGGCATTGGCATCATAAATTTCACTTTTATGTTAAGGTATCACTGAAAAGACAGGGCGGTTGTCGATACCTGTCCCCAGTGGTTTGCATCTCTTATGAGTAAAGCGCTTTGAAAACCGAATCTTCAAACTAAAGTACCGCTTATGACTCACTGAGCCACAGCTAAAAGATTCAATGAACACAAACATAACTTTTGCCCTTGCTCATCCTGACAAATACGTTCGAGGTAATAATTTTGGCTTTATTCTTTCTTTCTCCTTTATTGATAAATAAAAGGACACTCCGTTATTGACCAACTGAAATACAAAGAAACATCGTCAAATTCAGGTTGGTAGGTAGGGCCAGTGGGTTAATGGCTATGGTTGAATCATTCACACAGTTCACAGAAAAGAGAAAGGTAAATTTGGTCTAACGTTAATGACATGGGATGGTAGGTCTTTTATCCACAGAAAATCAAAGTGTGGTTGTATTTGAGTCCATTCCTTGGGGAACAATAATTCTCCAATTATGGTGTATATTTCTACATGTATATATATACACTTAAATATATAATACTTATTTCAGCATTGCATACGCCGATCTTTTGGTCTCAAATCAAATGAAAAAAGATCGTCACAAGTGTTTACAATGGAAGTTCCATTTCCGTTCATATCACCAACCAACCCATAATATTATATATATGTATGGTATGACATAATGCGCTTGAACTTTACACTGCAGTTGATTACATTTTCAAAAGTTCGATGGTTAGCTGAAAATGAGCTCTTGTCCTTTCTTTACATGTCCTTACAGATCTTGACAGTGGAAACTTAAATCAAAGTTGTCGTATGTAGTTTAAAAGAAAAAAAGAAAATCAGAAACAACTATATTTTACAAGGATAATAGATAAGGTCCACATTTCAGGATACTTTCTACCAGCCGGTCCTTGGCCAAACCTCTTAGCATTGATCTTTCCGGGATTATCCGTACCCATTTACATCTGGGTCGATTTTAGATTTTAGATGACTTACTCAAGGTCATCGGACTCTCACACGCTTACATAGCTGGTTTTGTCATTCATTTACATTTTGAATAATCCATGATGCACAAGGCGACTTTCTTGTATACCTCTTTGATTGGCGGCATGTGGACTTATAGATTGTAATTTGGATAGATACATCTCTCTTTTCTCTCTGTCATTATTCCACATCTGTAAGCTGTTTTTTTATTAGCCATCCAGAGTTTAACCAAGTAAATGTCATCATCAAGTATACTATTGTCGTCAGTAATAATACCAATGGAAGCTTGAATAGTAGTTAATTAGTTCTGAACAATTAAAATAATGAAGTGTCATAAAATGAATAATAAATATATATTATATGTAATATAACACAAAATATATTATCTTATATTCAATGAAGTGAAAAATCAATACTTTTCCTCAAATGTTATCAAATTGCGTAAGAGATAATACTTACCATAATAAAGGGTGACATTTTGAAAAACCATGAAAATTTCATTGCTGAAAGTGTTTTGCTATTTCTGTGAAAATATAGTGTTAATTTAAGTGATTTTGTATCGCGCTGCAATAGACAATGTGGAGTCCTTGCAATTAATACTTCGTCATATCTGTTTTGTTTTTTAATGGTTTAGAGTGAGTCAATATGCTGTACATGTCGAATGAATTGTTTTATAAAACTCATTTCAGTTATCAGCTAAGCAACAAACATTGTTCCGTTCGTCTTAATTTCAATAAATTGTTCCGATTAGAGTGAAGGCTATTGTCAGTTTCGAAGACTTAGTTAATATTTGTTTCCAATACAGATACAGGTATTACTGATGACGCAATCACATTGGTATAATAGACCTACTGCTTGGGACATTTCTAATAACGGTAACTCCCAAGGCACTTTTAGTGGTAATTGTAGATGAACACGGCGTCGAATTTTCATCTGAAAAATAACTTTGAGAACGGAACACTATCATATAATACTCCTAATTGTATGCAACGTTTCAACAATTTATAGTGTCCTCAGCAAGTCAATAACATGGATGACGGGAACTGAGCTCATTAGGTTAGCAAATCGAGTAGGGCATTCTGGCGCCTTTTTTATTTATCAATTATTCAATTTGTTCATAAATATCTCAGATTTAACTTATTCTCGTTACAGGAACAAAGTCAAAGCTGAATTTCCAATGGGTGAACAACAACACAGAGGATGCGCAAAGCCGGATCACATCTCAATAGTCGCATTCAAGAGTTTGAACTTTGGCGGAAAGACGGAGATTTCTTCCGAGATGGTGAATATGCGAAACGTCGAGCTAAACGCCGTGAACGTGTGAGCTCCTTGGAAGGTGATCGTAGACTCAAACGCTGGAAGAAGTTGTATATACCAGCAGTCTTAGGCATGATGACTGGGTCGTTCCTGACGTTGGCTTCCACAGTTCATGGACTTGGCAAAAACACAATTTTCTGGTCAAGTAAAGAGATATTTCATGTGTTAGGTCCAGTGTTTTTATGTTCCGGATTAGTATTTCTCGTCTTAGCGGCTGCCTGTTCCCACCAAGAAGAGGAAAAATTGCGTATTAAGTTAGGTCTTCCCAGTATGTTTCCACAGTCCATGAAAACTTTACCTAGTGAAGAATTGACCTCAATAACCAATATCAGTGAATTAGAATCGTCCCATTCCTTGGCTGAAAAACTCGCTTCAAAATCAAAAGAGAGACCAATATCTCGTATAAATTCAGAAACGTTTTCCAATGATGGATCTGTTACATCATCGTTTAAAGACAGGGACAGTTTTCAGCCTAAATATGGACCTAGTCTTTCCAAACATAATCCTAATATGCATTTAAAACGAAGTACAAGGAGTGTTCAATCAGGTAATTCTATAGCACCGGAAATAGTGTTTGAAGTAGAAAATGAAACATGTCGATCAGAAAGTTTAACTTTTAAAGAGACGGATATCGATGCTTATTGTGCAATGATTAATAATGAGAAACAGGCGGATATTAAAAGTAATCCTGAAAACAGTGAATTGTTATCAAATATTGATGTACCTGATCAACTTCTCTCAAATCATATTCCATCTATACAGTCCAATATTCCACTTATAGAATCAAAGTCACAAAAACTCAAATCAAAAGAATTAGATTCTACCGAACCGGAAATAGAACACAATATTTCAGAAACAAAAAAGGAAAAGTCACGAATTTATTGTTTTCATAGACTTGTCAAAGCAAAAGATAGATTTATATCGTCTGCATCGGAAACATCATCCGGGTACTCGAGTGGTACCAATATGGTGGATACTGAACAATTCGAATGTTTTACATCGTTTGACAGTGAACAAGATGGCGATATAATAGAATCATGTTCCTAATGAAGCAAAAATGTAATATCAGATCACATTGATTAAACTAAACGTCACTAAATTTGTGGTTGTTTCCACGAAAACTTGAGGCAACTCATATGCAATGGTTTTATTACATGTTGGGCTCCGGGCTTTTCGTGCAACACTTCTACAGTTGCTCATGCAAATCTGATCTCAAGTTTGTCTGCAATAAGTTTGTCTGAAAATAAACTAGAATGAACTCCAGTATTTATCTTATATACCATGCAAACCTCAGGTTGTATTAATTTCTATTCTAAACTATGTCCTTTTATTATGCTAAATTGAGGATTGGCTGGTAAAGCAAGTATAATACATGCAATTAAAGGATTTCTTTCCATTGTATATGGATCAAGGACAAACATTCTGATTTCCTATCTGACTTCTGTGGTTCCTGTAATTATTTACCAGGATATGACGTCACTGTCAGTATTATTTGAATCTATTGTCTCTAATGCACATTCGCTAAAAAAAACTAGCTTCGTAATCGTTTTAATGGAGTACTAATACATCAATTACCCAAATCAAAGATTTGACAGGCTTGAAAACAGGTTGTATTTTTATTCTAAATGAAGATTCAAATGCGTCAATATTTAACCTCTTTAAATTATGTACACGGTATGGATCCTTTCAAGGAAGTAGGAAGTGTCGAATTTAATCCACAGAAGATATACATGTATATTTTAAAACGTGAAAATATCAAAGCTATCGTTTTATGAACCAATTTGTGTTATTGATTTCCTACTTGCGTCATCATTTTGTCATCAAAATGTTCTTTCCTACTACATTCATGTCATAATTAATAGTCAAATTTTTCACAAAAGACAGAATAATGATTTATTTACTCAAAAGCTACAAAATTACTCTTCGACATCCTATTGATAGTTATATCAGCTTTGTAGTAGAATTATTATAATTTCATGTATTCTAAAAAGCTAATTTCACTGGTAACGGCAAGCTTCGTGCATTTTTAAGGATAGAGTAATTGATATCAAACTCTCAATCCAAAACATGATTCTGCAACTAATAAGAATAAATCGTACCCCATTCAGACGAGTTAGATATGTCTCCAGCCGGGAACAGCGATTTACAACGGCGACATTTTCAGTTTCGATAAATCTTATTTGCCTAGAATCGGATCATAGGATTAGGCAAATCAAGTTGTATTCGGTGGGCCCTCCTGCTTGATTGGGCGAACCGTAGTGTATGTCCACATATAATTTAACAAATAGACACAGAGTTCTAGGGGGTATGGATACTGGTATATATCTCTTGTGCTTGGCGATCCAGCACATAAAAGTAGTTCGAGGACGGCTCAGTGTATGGATGAAAAATACCGTGTGTCCGTATTTCTGTGACCAAAATACCTTGTACCCGTATTAATGTGACCATAATATCTTGTTCCTTTATTACTCTGACCACATTTCCGGTGACCAAATTTCCAGAGACCAACTTATACCTACGTCCCCGCTACACGACTATAGGTGTCAATAGACGTGTAGCGGGGTCCGCAGTGGTGAACTTTTTTGGATTGTTGATAATAGAATAAATAAATGGAGTCAATAGCCTACTTGACGTTCGGAACGTTTCCGGATCGTGCCCTAGCATTTCCTTTTCTATGCCTTTTCTATCCCGATTACAAGTCAAAAATCCAGTTATTCCAGGAATTTTATTCTCTCCGGGGGAGCCTCAATTTCCGTCGATAAATCTATTAAAAGATTGTAAGTCTACACTTCTTGATTAACAATTTCATGAAAAATAATACGGATCAAACATGATATACTCCATTTGATTTTAAATTAATTGAAACATTTATAATCTTTAATAAAGAAAATTAAAGAAAATCGTTTCTGTTAACTGATCATTGTCATTTTCAAAGAAGTTTTTTCAAATATAGAAGTTTGTATATCAACTGTGAAATAAAAAGGTTTACCTTTTGAATTAATTGTGTAAGTCGCATGTAATTTATTTAGATCATTAATTTAGAACAAAATATCGAGCAACGGGGCATCTCACATAGAACAATACATTTAAACAAAACGAAGATGAAACGATATTTTTTTAACGATGTTGTACAGGTAAATAAGTAATAAAAATTGCAGGAGACTGTTATATTGGAATGTAAATAATCAATAGAATTAATTGAAAGACGAGTTAGAATATATACTGTTAGTTATCACCTGTCATCTTCCAATATAATAAATAATATAACAGGCACTGGAAACCCTTGTCTATCACAGAGTGCTAGGGAAGAAAACAGGGTGTATTCTAGTCTTGAACTCGCTGACTAATCTTATCTCTGATTAAAATTCCGTCAACAAGTTAGATATTACAGGATTCAGCAATATTCAGAATAACTGTATTACAATCTGATTTAAATACAATGTTATCTACATTTACCCCAGACATCAGTCCCATAGAGCACCATTAGCCAACCACTAATATTTGTTCACATCATCTTACTGAAGAAAGCGTTTTCTGTCCCACACCATCGCCACATGTACCGAAAGATAACCCGGGAAGAGCATTACTGACCATGGGAGTCAGATTGTCAGATATTATATATCATTAAAACCATCCAGCAGAGTAACATGGCAATGCATCTATGTCCAGGTATATAATTATGTTACAACATCCATGACAATAACATATAAAAGATCCAAAAAGTAATGAAGCAGATTGCAATGTTCACGAAAATATCAGTAAATTTAAATGAAATTGTAATCTCATTTTAAGTGATACTACGTCTTAGAATGAACATAAAATTTAAGTTCTCGAAATGGTCAATATGAGTATATATTCATCAGTGAACTTATCTGGTGTCATAAAGTTACAACAGAATCCCAGTAAAATCTGGAAAATTCTTAAAACTGAGTAATTATTGAAAAACGCTTAATCTTGTTTTTCAATAGTTAATTGCATATTTATGGATTTATCGGATTATATTAGGATCCTGTTATGTTATTCATGACCATGGCTTAAATTCATGTTAATTCTAAGACGTAGTATCACTTTAATAAGATAGTTAAACCTATCCTTCAATAAACCAAGCCTGAACCCTTGCAAATCACCATGAAGGATTACAAGACCATCAGGAAGATAATCCCAGACAACCGATGATCATCAGAGAAGATCTGGCATTACGAATAGAATTATCAATCGTGTCGATGACTCACAGCCAGTAACAATCTTCAACCTTCACTTTCTACGAAAACCAACAACATCCGCTACACATTTTTTTTTTGCAGAACAGAACCATTTGGCAGAGACTGGTCTGGCCGTTCATTCTTTAGACATAGGTTTTACTTTTTTCGCTCAAGACGTGTTGCGTCGTTTCAAATATGTGTACGCATATCGACATTTTCAATAACACCAGTAACACGACAGAGAGTTGAGTTATCATATATATGTTGATATGTATACTATGCCAAATAAAATATTCATCCAGTAACGGAGTGCAATACCTGTTATTCATTCAATCTTATTAAAATTACATTACAATTTCGTATGTTTTTTGTTTTCTGATATTTTTAATCTACATTGTAATGTAAGTTTTCTGTCGCCTGTCCCAAAGGTAGAAATTTTCATCAATCAAAGCGTGCCATGTAAATACTGTGATAAAAAAGGAATTAACAAAAAATATCAGAAAACAAAAAACATACGAAATTGTAATTTCAATTAGATTGGTTATTTATTTAGATAGTACTTTAGTCTATGAATATTTATTTAACTTTCAATGCTAGCTTCATCAATTAATGAAACTAACTATTGAAATAGGATTATAAATAACCCTACTTATTTGTATTGAGGCACGAAAGATGGGAAAATGCAATTAGAGAATTTATAATTAACAGAACTGTAAACAGATATCAGAATCAATATGAAATTGTTCAAGTAATTGATACATTGAATGATAAACAGTTTAAAATATATACAAATGACATAGCACTTAAATATACATGTAATTATAATTACAAATAATTATATAAAACATCTTCAAGCAACATTTAGGAAATGACAGTCATTCTCTATTGGTATTTCATTTGGACCTGTACAATTAACAAGACATTCAAATAGTCCACATACGAAATGAAAATGTTTCTTCACCAGCTTGGTGTAATAGATACCACAACATCCTACAGTGTGAAATTTTTGGAGTAGGAATCTACTTTTTTATTGGAACATTGATGCACAACCCACACACAGGAACTAAATAACTGTCCAGTTCTATGATTAGCACTCTAGCTCTTTTTGGAGGTTTTTCGCATTTTACGAAAGTCTGTTTTTTTCACCAAGTGTTTCATAGATTTAACGAAATGATTTTCGTTAGATGTTGTTGAGGTAGATGGTGATATATCATAATCGAAATCATCATAATTTCGGGTGTATAGAGATCTTTTACTTCTTACAGCATTGGGCTTTTTCTTTGGATCCTTAGTTCCACCAGTCTCCTTGCAGTAACCAGAATCAGAGTCTTTCGAAACTTTTCTTTTTTTCTGTATAAATATATTTCCATCATCATCATCTGAAATTACTTTGGTTGCCGATTTCTTTCTTTTAATATTGAATGATGATGATGAATTTCCAGAATCTTCAGGAATGTTCTTTTTTGATTTTGAGGTTGTTTTCTTTTTGGGACTTTTGGAAGATTTGGGGGGTTTTGGCTGTCCTTTTTTCCCTACAGTACAGCCACTAAAGTTATAAACATCAGACTGACTCTTTGCTATTCTTTTCTTAGGGACTGATTGCTTGTCAAATTTAGCTAACATAGTATCTACATTATAACAGACAGGTTTATGTGATCTGGTATACTGCTCAAATTCCACTTCACCAGTATCTGCATGATAATGACTCTTAAGGTTCTCCATTTTATAACATTGTTCCATTAGTAGCTTCACTTCTCTTGGCACTTTATTTTTAGATTTTGTTCCCTTACTTTTCTTTTCTGATTTCGTACCTTGACTTGCCTCTGGAATTGGTGATTCAGAATCAATAGAAACTTGTTTGATGGCAGATTTTGATAAAGATATATGCTTAATTCTGGACTCAGAAGGTGTTTTCTCTTTTTGAGATTTAAGAGCTGGTATTTCTATTGATATTGGTGAACTTAATGCTGATCTTGGTCTTAGTTTGGCGATTTTGTTTACTTTGGGTGATCTTAAACCTTTGCTTTTGGTTGATCGGTGTGGTTCAGAAGCTGTAACAGATTTAACAGACTCTTGTAGAACCTTATTTTGAATAGGCACTTCTGGTGAGGGGGAAGCTGAACATGTATCAGAACTTTGTGAATTGGGTGTGACAGGGACATCCTGAACCTCTTTCACTGGTGATGTAACAGATTGTTCTGATACAGTTTTAGTTGAAGAATAGGAACAGGAAAAAGTATTCTTTAGTTTTGCTGTTATTGGCACATCTTCAGCAGGCCTCCATTTAGCTTTCTTAGGAGATGTGTGAATTTGACTGGAGGGTTTAATGATAGCATATTTTCTAATTGGGGAGCATTGGTTCAGTTTTGATGAAGTATTTCTAAACAGAGATTTTGGATAGTGATTTGGTTGTTTAGATCTGTTTTGTGGTACAGCTATTCTTGGTGTAGAAGTACCTAATGGTGGATGTTTTAGTATCTCATTAAGTACTCCAGTACAGTTGAGTGGACTGTTTGGGGTGCAGAAATCTTCTTCACAATTTCTGATATTTTCCACATTTTCATTTTTATTTGAATCCACTGAAATAAAAAATTTTGAGTAAAAAATTGTTTCAATGAGTTGATGAGTAACCTTTTTAAAATAAGATTTTAATAGCATCAGTTATGATAGCATTAAGTTGTTTCAAAATCATTCACTACACCATAATGTCCAAAAGATAATATCTTTTCAAAATTTTATATTGAATAGTCTGCAGACTAACTTATATCAAAAAAAAAAAATAAGCTTTTTGCTTGTACAGCTATCTGATTATTTAATTAAAAGATGTAAAATATCTGTTTATATTTGTAAAACAATGTCTTACCATCTGGTATATCTGGTGTACCAATATCAAAACTTGTATTACTAGTACTATTCTTTTCCTCTGTAGACTGAAAATATTTCATATTAACATATAACCTGAGAATCAAACTTTAACTCATATTATTTCAAATTTCCGAGAGCCAGGGTATTCCAACATCAACTGAAAACTGGAACTATTATTGTCTTAGTAAGAAAAATCTAGTCTAAGATTTATTCATGGTCAATTTCAATAAGTTGGCAACATATTACAATACATAAAGGGAAGCAACTTCAAATCAAGATAGATTTCAAAAAGCATCATAGCGAAATTTAACTTCAAAAGCCCTCTTTCACACGCCAACTTATCATATACCAGTAAGATATGGCTGACTGGCAGGTATAATCAGACCTCAGTGGGTGACAGTACCTTTTCTATTGGTTTTGAATCATCATCCTTTAAATCTAAAACAAATGCTCTCTTTGTTGTTACTCTTGTCCTGAATAATAAAATAATAGATACATGTGGTAAAATTATAACTATTTAGCAGTAACCAAAAAAAAGAATCATTGGCATTGATTTGACAGAATAATGATAAACAGAATAATGTGAATGGATTGCTACTTTTCTGCACCATCCGAACAGCTTACGCTTTTTCCATGTCAGCCCTCTTACCTGCATCACTGCTAGGGAAAACGGTGAAAAAAAAAGTTATTATCTCGACCTATGATGGGACTGAACTCTGGACTTTCAGGTTAGCGAGCAAGCAGCTGACTAAGACACAGAGAATGAAAAAAGTCTTAATGTTCTACGCTTTACTTTTGATGCATCAGATTCGTCAACCTTCAACATCAAATTGATTGATTGTTTTTTCTCTGTTTGAAAAACAGAATGACATACTTACGCGAATCGTTGACGAATCATATTGGATTAATTATAGCATATGGGCTATTTAAAGGCAAAACTACCAAAATATTATAAAAGAAAATAATTTGAATGTTTTCATTTTGTGTACGCTTTACGCCTCCATATAAAGAACATTATAAAAGGGAGGCAACTCATAATGTAGGCGAAAGGCTCCAGACTACAGTCAAGTTATTACCTTAATAACTGGCATAATTATCTTGAAAAACCAACTAATAATTTCGTATCAAGATGTCATGCATTGCACCATTTCGATTGATATATTTTTTCTGGATACAATTATTTCAGAAAGATGACCTATTACTTCAGACGTCCAAAATCACATGCCTCACCAATGATTGATGCCATTTGCTCCCTTATACCAACTTCAGTAATAGACAATAAATGTAGGCCTACCTGTTTACCTCAATCCCTTCCATTTCCCATATTTCAAGAATTATTTGTCCATAAATAAATATTTTTTCAGTTATTTGTCACCTGAGAAAAAAAAAATATCGGTATTCAATATTAAGATAATATTAGAAATAAGAAGTCATTTTAACCTACATTATAAAATATTTGACCTACATATGGTTCTAACTGGGTCAATGATTATTATAAGAGTTTTAGTAATGAAATAGCCGTTTATATTTAGTATCTTACTGGATCTATTTGTTCAAAATGATAACTAGGAAATAACAGGACATGAGAGAAACGGAATATGGATTTCTTCAAGAGAATGAATAAAAACAGGTAAATAGTTGCAAATTTAGTTCTATATGTTACCCCATTATACTGATCCTATACTGAGAAAAGTAGTATTACGTAACAGTTAATAATACAACGGTTAGGTAACAGATCTATAATTAATGGTAAAGGCTCGGGTGTTTCTACATACAGAATAAGGTGAGGGAATCGCGTAGGGCACTGCACGGGTCACATAATCTTCCATGGGGGGGGGGGGGGGGGGGTGGGGACAAAGGGGGGGCCCCATTTTACAACCCCCTTTCCCCCCCTAAAAACCCC